CCTCTTATTTCCTCATGGCAATGATGATTATAAACAATTTTGACACTATGTGGTTCTTTCATTTTTCCCTATTTTTATCTACGTTTTTTGATTCAAAATCTTTTCCAACGCCTTTTTTCTTATTTTTTTAGCATATTCTCATACTTTTGCTTTCTTTGGGCCGGTAATCAATTTAAATTTATTTAAGTTGATCATTTCCTTTGTTTGTTATTCAATTTTACTTTTTTTAACTTTTTTTTGCCTATAGCACTTTATTTTGATCATTTATATCTTTTCCTTTTTTTCTGTTTGTTTTTTTTTTTTTTTTGCCTTATTCACCTGGTAGTTGTTGGACAAATCAATATTTTACTCAAATTACTTATTCTTTATGTTACACACTTTATGATATGTGTGATGCATTGAATATCTTATGAAATTTTGATGCTTTTATGTAGTTGCCCATAGTAGGTAGCTATAAAGTGTCTATAAACATATAAGTTTATGTGTTCATCACATATTGACGAAATAAAAATACTGTAATATTTATGTTGTATGAATTTGTTCTAATTCTTTTCTTTTTCTTTTTCTTTTACTGTTTTTTTCCTTGGTCTTTTCTTTTATCCTTTTTACTCCCCTTTCTTTCATGTTTCTTTACTTTTCCACTCACTTACTTATTTATATATATTTTTTCATATTATCCTCACTGTTTTATTATTATTTAATAACATGTATATATTACTTGATAATATTGACAATGTTTACTTAGAACTTATCTATTTTACGTTAACATATTTAAATGGATGCCTTTGCTTTATATCTTTTGCAATTAATTTCTCTTTTTTGATTTTTTTCCTCTCTTTATTCCTTTCTTTTTGGTTCTTTTTTTCCCCTGATTCTTCCTTCCCTCTCTTTCTTATTTCTTCATGACAATGACGTTTATAAATAATTTTGATTCAAAATCTTTTTGCCATGTCTTTTTCCTTCATTTTTGCCATATTCTTGTCCTTTTACTTTCTTTGGACCAGTAATCAATCTAAATGTTATTTAAGTTGATATATATATATATAATTATTAATTTTGCTTTGTTTGTCATTAAATTTTACTTTGTTTGACGTACTTTTCTTTGCGTATGATGCTTTACTTTCTTTCGTTCTCTTTTTTCCTTTTTTTTGTGTTTTGTTTTTTTTCTGCTTATTCACTTGGTAGTTCTCGAACAAATCAATATCTTACTCAAATTACTTATTTTTTGTGTCACAAACTTTAATCCGTGTGATGGATTGAATATGTTATGAAATTTTACTGCTTTTATGTAGAACATATAAGATTATTTGTTCATCACACGTTGATGAAAAATTCAATCACTGAGCCATGATCATTATATAAAAATACTTTAATATCTATGTTGTATGAATTTGTTATGATTCTTTTCTTTTTCTTTTACTGCTTTTTTCCTTGGGGTTTTTTTTTTTTTGCCCTTTTCATTCTCCTTTCTTTCCTGTTTCTTTGCTTTTCCACTCACTTACTTATTTATATCTATTTTTTCAGATTTCCTATCATCTATTGCTTTGCATTCCTATTCCTATTGCTTTATCCTTTTTTTGAGATTCGGCCTTGGTTGGCGTGCCTCTCTTATTCGGGCTGTTCTTTACAGGACTGAGGTATTCCTAAAAACTTCTATTCATACATTTTTAATAAATGTTGCTAATGATGATGGAGTAATTTTCTATAACATTATTAATGTGTGAGGTTTGTTCAGGATTATCCGCATCCATATAAGCTTATCATAAGCTTATCTTACATTATTGATACATATTAGTGATTAAAAAAGGAATAATTGTTCCTTTTTGCTTTTAGTGAATATTTTCGTTCATAAATAGGTAACTATGGCATATTAAGTATTTTCTCTATCATTTACTATTTCATAAAAAAAAACATGTATATTGTATATTGGCGATGATGATCATACTCAATTTTCATGTATTAAAATTTGTTTGATTTGTCCAAAAAATATTGCGGTTATGTCTTTTCTACTTTAGTTTTTATCAACCTATTTCTTCATTCTTTGCCTTGCCTTAAATTTCCAATTTACTTATTCCTGCTTCTCCTTTTCTACTCCATTTGTCTTCCCTTTTCCATGCCTCTGTCATGCTAAAAAAAAATTCACAAATCATTATTATTACTATTCCATATACTAAAGGAGAGATGTCGTTCACTGTTCATCTACATATATTTTACTCTTCCCTATATAGTGAAGTGATTCATTTAATGACTGATTGCATAGTGGAGTGACGGCTTTGCCCTTTTCATTTCATTCTTCTATGTGTGGGTGTTAGGTATTTTAGTCTTCTTATACTTTGAGTCATACATGGACACTTTTGTCTCTATCTTTTTATCCTTCCCTTTGTCTTTGTCGTGGGCTTCTCAATCATTTTAGGAATGTAGAATGTTAACATCTCCTCCTTTCTCAACTTTTGTCTTCTATGCCATCTTCATTTTTTCTTTTTCCTCCTTTGTCTTCCTCTAATCCGATCATTAAAGTTAAATCTTTTTATATTTTTAGTTGTATATGAACACTTTTGTTTCTGTTTTTATGCCTTCCTTTGTCTTGTCTGTGTGGTCGGCTTCTCAATCATTTTAGGAATGTAGAATTCTAACATCTTCTCTCTCAACCTCTGTCTTTTCTGCCATCTTCATTTTTTTTTTCTTCCTTTGTCCTGCTCTGATCCAGTCATTAGAATTAATTTTTATTCTTTCAACTTCTTTTTCCATGAAAGGAAGAAAGACAATGTAAGTGTTAGAAAATTAATGGCATCGAGTGCGCAGCGGAATTTAAAAATTTTAATCAACGTTAAAGTCAAATAAGAACATGTTCATGATGCTATATAACATAAATACTAAAGATCTAAAACATACCTTTTGAGATTTCAGGAAACTGCACGTCTGACAGAGCTAAGCGTTCCAAACAGCAACCGAAAGAGTTTCAACCAACTGGTCTTCTTTGCTATTCTCGTTTCTACAATCGGTGTGCGGGTGGGCACACGTCGTTTAATCTACTCTAAGTATTCTTAATCTCCTTCCAATCACAAGAGAGCCAAAGAAAAAATTATTCTTGAGAATTAAACAATTTTTCCTCTTAAGAATCTTTTATCAATTGCCTCCAAAAAGTCTCTTAAGTGATCTAATGAGTAATGTGACTTAATAGGCTATTTATAGTGTTTTGGAAGTCATACTTCCGTAACAATTAGGTTTCCCAAAGTTATAATCGCATCCAGAGTCGATTTTCCCACGTCAGCATGCATTTACGTTACAACCGGTCGACCGGTGATAGAGACGTTATAACTCACCGGTCGACCTGTCTTCACTAACCGGTTGACCTGTCTGCACTGACGAAAGTTATTTTCCCTAGTTTTTCAATACGGGAAACTCGCATAGAGCCTCAATTTTGATTCAAGCAACCCACTAAAGAAATTGCCTGATCAAAACAGTCATATAATAGTCTTCCCATATTAAACAACTCTTAAAACAATAATTCAACCAATTTATTTAGAATTAATTTATTAATTAATTCATCCATAAATTAACTTTGAACCTCTCGTTACGGAAATAACACAAGTTACTAATGTGTAGGAAATACACCGTATCGTTACAGGAAATTATGTGAGCTAGCAAAGGGACCCGATGGACATATATAAATCAAGTTCTTATAATCACAACGCTACTTATAAATCAACAAGTCCGTCTTATGATTATAAAACTCTAGCGCTATTCCACTAAAAGCCTAGAGCTGCACTCTCGATTTATATAGCGTATTTACAAATCTCTGATTAGCTCTAGTACATGACTCAATATATTAGTGTATCATCCCCATAGGATATCCATAATCGACTTGAGGTCAAGTTCCGTTTTACCTTCCCGATTACATTTATCTTATGTTCCATTATCATACCATCGGAAAAATACTATTCGTATCATTACAAATAGTAAACCATTAGATAACACAAAGTAGTCCAATGGCTGAGCGGTCATATTTTTCAATCCACTGATAATGCATAAGAGTATATCATTGACTCTTCATAGGAGCTATGGATTCCACTATCTATGAATAACGAATCTACGCATATACGAGTTATACCCCCAATGTATCGGCAAGCGTACCTTTACATAATGTCAGGATGTCTCCCTTTAATACATCAAATGATACAAGTCAAGTATACAGATTCATCATCCATCTTAGGATTAAGATGATAACATATAATTCGTCAAAAGTGAATTGTTTTATTTAAACAGAATTATTAATTAAAACAATTCAACTTTGGTCCGATTCAATATAGATTTCACCATTAGAAACTATATCAATGTCTCCACCCATGGAGTCCCACCTCCGACGACCAAGACAAGTCGTCTCCGTTAGGAAGTAGACAACATGACAATCTTAACATGAATAAAGCGCCTAACTTTATTCTCTCGATTATGGATCATAAGATTTAGACTATCATCTTTAGATTCTTGTCTTCCGCATGTTCTTCACATTACATTCATGACCTAAAGATTTAGAATGACAGTCTCAGACTTTTAGTTTGCTTATCATACATTCAACTATTATGAACATAAAGAGGACAATACATAGATATATAAAATAAACAAATCTTTATTAATAGTCAAAATATCTCAAAGAATATTGTTACATTTATTTCTAAGGGCATAAACGCTAACAATCTCCCACTTGCACTTAAGTGAGTAAATGTAACATGCTACGCATCCCCATAGCCTCGACATGCTTCTCGAAGACCTTAGCCGGCAGGGCCTTCGTGAACGAGTCAGCCATATTGTCCTCTGACGCGATCTTGCATTTTTCCACATGCCTTTCTTCAATAAAGCTTCTTATCACCTGATACTTCATGTCTATGTGTTTACTCATTTTCTGATATCTTGGTTCTTTGGTGTTAGCTATTGCCGCACTGTTATCACAGTATAGTCTCAATGGCTTATCCACACCAGGAACAACTTTAAGATCCATCAAAAATTTACGGAGCTACACTGCTTCTTTCGAAGCATCACTAGCTGCCACATACTTGGCTTCCATCGTTGAGTCAGAAGTGCAAGTTTGCTTGACACTCCTCCAAACGACAGAACCACCTCCCAGAGTAAAGACAGAACCCGAAGTCGATTTTCTAGAATCCAAACAGGATTAAAAATCTGAATCTGTATATCCTAGAGGTGTCAAATCCTCCCCAGAATATACCAGCATATAGTTTCTAGTCCTCCGAAGATACTTGAATACATGCTTGACCGCAACCTAGTGGTTAGATCCTGGATTCGACTGAAATCGACTTACATTCCCGATCGCATGGCAAATGTCCGGTCGAGTACAAAGCATTGCATACATGAGGCTCCCGACCGCCGAAGCATAAGGCACCTTCGCCATGTATTCTCTTTCTTCAGATGTCTTGGGACAATCAATATTCGAAAGAGTAATTCCAGACCTAGATGGTTGCCCACCTTTCTTGGAATTCTGCATTGCATACTTCTCGAGAATTTTATCTATGTATGAAGCCTGAGAGAGAGCTATCATTTTGTTCTTTCGATCTCTTATGATTCGAATGCCCATAACATAATTAGCTTCTCCTAAGTCCTTCATGTCAAACTGTTTGGTAAGCCAAACTTTGACTGATGATAAAGCCCCTACATCATTGCCAATGAGTAGAATATCATCAACATATAACAGTAGAAAAATCACATTCTCATCTTGAATATGTTTATAAACACAAGGTTCATCTATATTCTATTGAAATCCAAAAGTCTTGACCACTTGGTCAAATCTTTTGTTCCAAGAATGGGAAGCTTGCTTTAATCCATAAATGGATTTCAGCAACTTACAAACTTTTTCCTCTTGACCCTTAACCCCAAAGCCTTCTGGTTGTACCATATAGATACTTTCCTCAAGATAGACGTTCAAGAACGCCGTCTTGACATCCATTTGTCAAATCTCGTAGTCGAGAGCAGCCGCAATGGATAAGAGAATGCGGATGGACTTAAGCATGGCTACAAGCGAAAAGGTTTTCTCGAAGTCGATTCCCTCTTTTTGCGTGTATCCCTTAGCTACCAGTCTAACCTTATAGGTTTCGACATTTCCTTCTGCATTTCTCTTTCTCTTGTAGACCCATTTACACCCAATGGGCTTAATCCCATCGGGAAGATCTACAAGTTTTCAGACTAGATTAAAATTCATAGATTTCATCTCAGCTTTCATGGCTTCTGTCCAGAGGGTTGCATTAACATCCTACATAGCTTCTTTGTAAGTATAAGGATCTCTGTCATGTTCCAGAGATTCTGCCAAAAAAGTTTCCCCATTAGCCATGAATCTCTCAGGTTCATGTCTGATCCTCCCACTACGCTGAAGCCCCTTAGGTTGTTGTTGGGTTTCCTCTTCTACTCTGATTGGATTGGTTTCCAAAGGAACAGTCGGTATGACCAAGTCACTCGACATTTCCTCAAGCACTATTTTGCTACGAAGCTTAAAGTCATTCATGTAACTTTCCTCCATGAATGTTGCATTCGTTGAAACCACGACTTTATTTTTCTTAGGATTATAGAAATAATCTCATTTTGTCCCTCTCGGATAACCTATAAAAATATACACTTCTGAACGTGGTTCCAA